TATACTATTCGTGTTTAATATATAATTATCTACACGAGCACATCTCTATTATGTACTGTTTTCGGCCATTGATCGAATGCATGTTGGGGAAAAGCAGCATGAAACAGCTAATTTTTAAGTGTATGGATTTTTCCATATCCTCTTGCTGAAACAACCAATTTTTTTTTTTAACGGCTAGAAAAGTTTTCGTTCTAAACACAACAAGTTATCAATTATTAAGATGCTTTTATTCACTACTATCTTAATGTGAATATGAATATACACTGTTATCTTACAAATCGGAAAGAAAGTGGGTCGTAAAAAATTTGTATTTTTTTGCTATTTTCAAATGGTTAAGTATTCTGTTACTTTTTCTAAGAATCTACCATTTTTTCTACCATTTAGAACATTCTTTGTTTTTCCTCCCTAGGTAAGTAACATGAATTGTTTATGACTTTAAATTTTTTTCGTACCTGCGGCCGTAAAGCGGTGAATCACGCAAACGTGATTAACCGTTTTACGGCCACAGAGGTACGAAAAGTAGTATACACACCATGTTTGGAAGTTAAGAAATATCCTAGATTTAACGTGAAATCTGCGACATTCTTAACCTCGCTCACTAGGTGCGTAATATACTATTTTCTATCTTGAGCGTTTTTGAGAGGCTGGTGTGGTCTCGGTAGGAAAAATAGTATTCGCCACATAAGCTCCTTCCCTCCGGGACAACCTTATGGACCCTCGAGCCGCAAAATAGCCCCAAAAGCCGGCGCTTGTCCAACGAAACTACCATTGATGTCCTCACAATGTAAAGTACACGCTTAAAACGTGTAATCAAAATCTCTGTTTTTATAAAATGCTTTTTAGTTTAGACGAACGTTTTGAGAAAAACTAAATCGTTGTTTCGTGAAGTATTTCGACTATTTTATGAAACTAGACAATATTTTTCTTCATTTTTGCATACTAAACAATAGTTGCTTATTTGTTTGTTAGCTAATAATTTTTAATCTTTATCTACTTTGAATTTAATGTTGTTAATAAATAAGTGTACGAGGCAGTAGTAGAAGATTCCTTACGAAAATTTTGTGCATTTGAACAAAACTATCATCTATTATTGGTCATTTATGTATGGCACAAATTCAAGGTCTACTTTTTAACTGTTTTGAACAGAATTTTATTTACTGTACTTACACTACATAAAATAAGTGTCATATTATGTCGTTTTTTGAACATGTCGTTCTGCTCTCAGTTGTTTCCATGATGACTTGAGGGTCAGTGCCTAAGCACACGATCAGTAAGAGCTAATTTTGGAAGTAAGAATGAAAACTCCAAAAAATCAGGTGCTAGTTTGAGCAACGTTTTGTTGGTCTTAACGCCAACCTCATCAGGCTCACTTTATTAACAAAGAAAAAAAAAAAAAAGAAAAACATAACAATTTTTGTAAATTACATTGTAGGGCCACTGTTTATAAATATTAATAGATACTCACGTCAATATCGTTAAGATGATCGTTAGAGACTGTTGGTCACCTTAAACGAATAACGTAAGTGTCGAACATGTATGTACTTCTATATATACATATAAACAATAAATGTACGTTTCTTGCGAATATAGATAACGAGTGTACGTATTTAAAAGAGATTACTTATAAGAACCTTATATATGTTATTGAGGAACAAGGTATCCTGTTTTTTATTTATTGTTTTAGTCGAGTGTACGTCTAGCATTTCTGATATTAATATTTTTTGTCTATTTGGTTCATGATCTAGTATTTTGGTTTAAAAAAAATTAAAGTTATGGTTGAATTTTTTCATGTGTGAAGTGACAGCAAGTTCAACTTTCTTTGTACTTTTGTGTTCGTTTAGCCGTTTTTTCAATGCTCTCTTTGTCTCACCTACGTATGATGCAGGGTAAGAATCGCAAGAGAAATGATACACGACATTGCTTGATCGAGCTTATCAATTTTGTCCTTTCCAAGAATAATAACACTGTCCAATTTGTTTTGAATAGTAGGTTAAAATTGTATACTTAATTTTTTAAAGTTTTTGAACAAAATTTGAAAAATAATGGGTTGTAAGGGACAGAAATTTTTATTTTAGTACTTAGATTGTCATTAGTAAAAAGTTATTATCATTATTAGTATGTATTAATTGGTGAAGTCTTTTCTTGATGTATTTTTGTATAAAAAGATCAGTGTAGTCATTATCACGTAAAATTCTCTTAGCCATGAGAATATTCTTCTTGTGGAAGGATTTATCAGACAAAAGAATGGCTCGATCAACCAAACCGTATACAGCATTGACTTTTAACGATCGGGGATGGTTAGATTTAAATTAATTATTCTTTTGGATGAAATTGGCTTAACATACCAATTAGTGATTATTTTCAAGTTTTTATGTGTAATTGTAATGTCTAAGAAATTTATACAATTGTTTTTCTTTACTTCGAAAGTGAATTTCAAGTGATAGTCTTGTTCATTAAAAATCTGTAAAAATAGTTCTGCCTGATCTTTGTGTACGCATATGAGAGTGTCATTAACGTATCTTTTATATATAAAAGGAACGCAATTATAATTTTCTTTTAACACGCGCTAGGCTTCCATCTCTAGGTCTTCTAAAACTAAATCAGCAAATAGCGGAGAGACAGGAGAACCCATTGGGCTGCCAAAAATCTGTGTATAAAATTTTTTATTAAAAGTGAAGTAAACATTGTTGAATAAAAATTTTGTACATTCTATGATTTCATGATGGGGAATTTTCGATAATCTATTTTCTAACGCACAATCCGTAGTAAATGTTTCATTGTACACCTTTCTATTAATAGTGAAAAACAATTATTAAAACAAAAATGCTATTGTTTATTGATTGCATGGCTTGATTCATACTAATAATAACAAAAATGCTATTCAACTTTTACGATTTAACTGAAGTATTCGAAACCATCGGGGTGACTAGTCAGCGTTACAGCCGTCCAGTGGAAAAAAGTGTAGGTGACATTTTTGACATAATTGAGTTACACACTGCTTTTAGAAATGTTATATTTTGTTTTCGTAATCAATTATAATGTATTAATGATCGATGTGATGATAAAGAAAGTTTTTTTGCAAATTCAAGTTTAACATTCTTTTTATAGGTAAAAATAAACAGCGTTGTAGGAAGTTGCAGAGTAAATATAGACGAAGCGAAAGACTTTTGAAAAATGTACCTATGTTAACTAACAATTTTTTCATGGCCATTTTTTGAGAACTTTTTTCGGTTTTTGCTGCGGTTCGCGAAAAATTTAAAACCGATCCAGCTGAAATCTCACGTGTTTGTTAAAGGCTATTATATACACCTTGCTTTATAATTTCAGCTCTCAATATTGTATAAAACGCGAGTTACTGAGTTTCGAAAAACTGATTCAAAACAGCAGTTTTTTCGATTTGCCAAAAAACGGTTTGACCGATTTGAATCTAACACGGCTTATTTTGTTCCTCTGAAAATTGTTCCTATTTTTTTACAAAACATTTTTTTACATGCGATTTTTCGGTTTGCGTATTGACGCGAAAAACATGTTTTGGCTATTTTTGCCGTTTTTCGGGGGCTTTTACTAACATTTATACTTGTTAAATTCTGTGTCAATTTGTTATCATGCATTGAAACTACTACCCTATTTTTTTCGAGCTAGTCAGAATTTCTGGATCGAAAAACTCTAATTCTATGATATTAAGCGGTAGAGTTGCAGTTCCGTCGAAGGGCTCCAATCTCTGCGTTTTTCACGTGCTGACCCCCAATTTGAAATTTGTCATGAGACTTATGTATACTTGTAGTTTTCCGACAACTTTAGGTAATGATCATTTTTAGAACAGATATTCTGAAACAGATACATCCAAACTATTATCTAATTGTGTAAAAAACCATGTCTGAGCCTAAGGGTCATGATGAATAATAAAAATATATGTTTACACAATACGTTAAAACATTAACATAAGATGACAATTTCGGTAAGTTATTTGGTATTACCTGACATTATTTCAAACACAAATAATGTTTGTATTTACATATGACTACAGTCATTCATATCAGTGATAAACAAGAAAATTATTTTACAAAATTTTGATGTGACTCATAAAAAACCTTAAAGGAACACTATTTGGCACTTATTTAGTTATAGATATCTTCTTCAAATTAATGTCATTATAGTTTTCAGTTACTTAGCAAACAGCTATTGTGCCTCTACTTTACATTGACGTGCATGACTTATTTGTCAGAATAGTAAATATGGTAAATCACTCTTCCCAATAATGTTACTGCTACTTTACTGAACATGTACATTAATTATCAATTATTTCATGTTTCTTATTCATAAACCAAATATGTAGGTGTTATACCTATCTAATCACCGGAAACAAGTTTTCATCAAGCGATTAGAATTCCTCAACATTTCATACATCATCATACTAGCATGTGATGTAGCAAGTCAAACGTTCTCCGAACCAACTACTTTCAATTGTTATTATAGCTGGCAAGAAATATTTTGATATTAATCAAGTGCATAAGACTCGAACTTATCTTTTTGTACCATCGAAGAACCTACTTAACGTATGTACACAGTATTGGATTTATTTAATCTAGCTTAATTCATATTTTACTTATTAAGACTTGCAAAAGCTAATCATTTATTGAGATATACTACGTTTTTATCAGATGAGCTCTTGATTTTTTTAACGGATTTGTTTTTTTCCTGTAATATAAACACCAGGAAAAATTTTCCAATTTATCTTTAATGCACAAGTTAATACTTCACTGTGTGCAACCACTGCCATGAGTTGACAAATATGCGTTTTCAGAGATTAAAACTAACCCTAATATCAGTTCATTACAAAGCTAACAATCTTATTATTTAATATTAATATTTCTCGTTCGAACAGACTAAGTTACGTCACTTGGCAAACAAACTTAAGTTTTAACTTCAACAAGAACAATCAGATTCTCCAGCAGATTACTAGACACAAACAGGTATTGATTGAAATAAAAAGATAACTGTTTTTTTGGCTTGATTTTTTTTTGAATTTCGTTGATTTTTATTGAGAAATTAAGATATATAAATTACACCAGCGTGAAAATAACTTAATTATTTAGTCGCAACAGCTTTCGGCTTGGGCACACCTTCCCTGAATGCGTTCCTGAAACAGAAAGTTTATTTCACTATTAAAATACTGAAGCCATCAGGGTTTAAACTTACATTAAAATTAAAGCATTGACAAATATGATTGATATAGGTAAAACTATGCGACATACATGAAAAACATATTTTACTAACTGCTTATCATGTCACTGAGATTAACTTTTACATTACAATGGTAATAGAAATATACCTGAACTTGCGGCGAACGATCTTCAGATGACGCATGCGACCAGTACCAGTGGTCTTCCTCCTTTTGGCCTTAATAGACCAGTTGTCTGTACAAAAAATTATGATTTTAATAATTATATCATGGAAGCATGTAATGTTTGACTATGTAAAGAGGTTTGAATAAATTAAAAATTAAAGTGTTTTTTCTGTAGGAAGACAAGTGACTTTTTCTACGACTAATAACTTTTAATACTATTAAAAAGGAACCATAAGAGAAAGCATTGTTGGTTTTTGAAAATATTAATATTTAGATTTTTACACATTCCAGTCAAGATACACTTTCTTTGATGAATAAAATAAAGTTTACTCCTTGCGACATGCAAAACCAGCAACTGCATCAAGAATAGTGGCAACCATATCTATTGGTGGATCAGGCTTTGGGTAGGTATTGTGACAGTAAGGTAATAAAATTTCGGTTCTTTCTGAAGTTGACAAGTTAATACACCATAGCATCAGGAATAAAATTACTCACATGAACGCATTTTCTTGCTGGGGTACCCGCATTGGGCACACTTTGACTTCTGGATGTGGTATGACGATCGACCGCATCGCCTGCACAATGTGTGCGTCTTATTCCGGCGCTTACCAAAGCTCGAGGTACCCTTGGTCTGCAATCAATTAACAATCACTTAATAATTCTCACTTACATGTGTTATCTATGTACATAGATTATCAGAAATCTGAGACAACAAATGTAAACTAATTGCTATATGGCACAATGTGAATCGATTGATATACCACAATTAAGTATGCTAACAATCACAAAATTTTAATCGCGATCCAAACTTCAAGTGATACATCCTAATGATGTTAATTTTAAGTTCGAAAATTATGCACAACAGTAACGGCACATGTAGATATAAACACTGGCCGACTCCTAACCTACGGAGTCTGAAAATTCACCGAGCGATCAAAAATAAACGCATAAATTAATAAATACGCTAAGAATCAAACGAATGGACAGCCACTTAGTTTATTAACGGTATCCTTTGATTTAAAAAAATAATGATGACTGTGAATTCATTAGATTCTAAGGCAAACAATTTCTCCTCACCATCTTGCACGCAGAGCAACTAGAAAAAAAAAGAAATGCTTGTCGTCAGCTCTGTTAAGGCTGTTCATGTACACACATTGTATCGTTTGCGGAGTACGTCCTACGTCTCGACTCTCGATGTTATCACGTAACTATCGATATAACCAATCGATATTTTGAGAATCGATTTATTCCAATCAGGGTCGTAATGATGGGTACGGGTAGACTGGACCATGGTGTAAGAATAGACAGGTGGGCCGAAGGCCCGCCTCTATCGAGTCCAATTTGTGTCGCAGTACATCTAAAATCCGCTAGGTGGTTTCGAGTAGTAGAGGCAGTTTTTATAATGGTCAGTATGACTATATAAAAAAAAAAAAAGAAAAAAGAAAAAAAAAATTTTCATACTATCAATGGCCTGCATGACACGGATCCCTCTGGTGGCTAGTATCGGTACTGCGACAAAATTTGAACTTTTTTTACAATGCGTTGAGGTAGGCCTTCGGCCCACCTGTCTATTCTTACACCATGGACTGGACACAACTGCTGATTCATATATATATGTATTATATAAGTATAATACGTCTAATGTATATTTCAATGAACGATTTGAAATTAAAATAATAATGGGCCAAATCAACGAACAACCTCGAAATAGCTCTAAGCAGAATTACTTATAGCATCTTCGCTAAATCGCCATACTGTAATTTTCTATTATTTTTGATATTGTCAGTATTACAATCAATTGAACCCATAGTTCAGTGTGCCGTTCGCCGTAAGAAATTGTACTTATATCATTCATACCATCAGAAGAATAGGCAGTCGTCTGCATCGTGCATGATTATTTGTTGTATATATATACACTACGCAAGTAGGTATCGAAAAAAAAAAAAAAAAAAAAAAAAAAAGTGTAGAAAGTTTTAAAAAAAATTTAATTAATGATGGTATAAACATATTGGACTCCTGGTAACTGACCTTACTGATGCTCTGGAAAGAAGATGAGTGCCGAGTTCCCTTGCTTTCTTATTTTGTCCAGTACTTACAATACTTTCCTGGACAGTGTGCCCTTTTCCAATAGTTAAAAAAAAAAGAAAAAATGTTTAATTAACATCCAACTAAACTATTAACTACCTGGGTTATTTTCTATGCCATTTGAGGGGCATTGAAAATTTTCGACTCAATTAAGTATCTACGTGTCGTTACAATACCGAGGATAAAACGAAACATAGTGCAACTTTATTTAAAAAATACTTGCTGTCATATTAAAAAAAAAAAAAAAAAAAAAAAAAAAAAAAAAAACAAATAACTTCATATATGTAAGTAGGGATAAAACTATTTTTTTAAGGTATTGTGTTGAGGAAATAAATATATGTAAGTTTAGTCGGCAAATTTATCTGTATATTTATACATTATTTACAAAGCTCCCTAGTCTTAGGAGAAAAGAAGAAATTTTTTTAATTGGTATTTTCAAAAAAATTCATTATACACTAAACATAACTTTAAAAAAAAGATTAAGTCATTTATTAAAAATACACTATGTTTTAGACGAATACTCTAACTTTTCACGTATGAACCGGTCACGTAGCTTTCCTCGGGCTTCATAACTGAAATCCAATGCTGGTGGTGACCTTAAAACTTCTGCCTTCTGCATATCCCTCTCCAATTTTCTTTCCATTGACTTTAGTCTGGATTCAAACAGTTTTCTCTTTGGTACGTGTTCTAGAGCTTTTTCCCAGCCATAAGCTTGCGCATCTAACATTATGCTCATTATTTGATTTACAGTCAAAATCTTGTGTGAACCATCACCAAAGTGCAAATGACGATCAAGAGGTAATTTTGCCGTGCGAATGCCCAATTCTTTTGCCTTTGCCAATGAGACGGGTTGTTTATAACTCTAGTAGAATAAAAATATAAAAATTATACAAAGACTTTTTTTTGTAGGACATGTATTTGTGAGTAAAAAAACGGATGTAACTTACCTTATCAACAAAAGCTCCAATGATATAAGTTGTTTTGGTATCATATTTTTGCAGAGTCACATTACTGTGTTCCGTGAGATAAACCATTGAATCTTTGTCGAATATTTGGGTAAATGATTTCGGTGTGACAGTCCAGGGAAAATCATCGTCAAACAAGCTTGGAATGAATTTAATTACGTTCGTCATAAGTGGCCCCTTTACATCAGCGTTGCACAAGTAAACGTCGAACGGAAAGTCGTGAACCTTGTTTGCAGCGTAAGATTCCATTATTTGTCTGGCGCAGCTTCTGATTTCCTGAGGCCTCATGTATTGCTCATAACTGAGATCGAAGACTATTTTGGTGCCCCAGATGGTTGATTTAAGGCCATTCCATTTCCACAACTGGTTCATCGTCGCTTCGGAAATACGTCTGAAAAGACTGTTTCTTCCTATACCGTACACCATTACGTCGGTCCTAACTCCGACTTTGTCTCGGCTTTGCTTGCTTATCTCGAAGAGCACGTTGCTCTCTTCTTGCTTTTTCTTGCGATTTTCTTCCTTTTTTTCGAGTTTGAACAAAAATTCGTAATATCTCCTACGAAAAAAAAAAAAAAAAATTATTTTTACCTCCATTCGAGGTGATACTCGTAGGACATGTTTTAGTATGCGTTATCGCAGCAGGATGCTTTTTCAAATTACAAAATGGCGTTAAATTGGCGCTCTTTTTTTTAAACAAGTCAAATAGAACAGGTTTTAGTTTAACTTTGGTTACTTCATTTGTTTTTATACAGGCTCTTCGGCGCTAGTAGACGCGTCTCACCTCGAATTATATTGAAAGTTTGATGGCCTTAAAGTGAAGCTTCAATAGCATTGGCTAGTGGCTTACATTTAATTCGTTATTGCCTTAAAAGAGCGCTAATTTAGAATGCGTTTTACCGTCTTAAATGTGGTGATATTATTTATGATATTAGTTTTTTAAGCGGGAAAAATTTTATGAAAATAAAGTAAAAAAAAAATAAAGTCAGTAGTATATATACTTGCGTCAGATAAAGAAATTTGTTAAATTATTTCTCTACGTAATTTTTCGGAAAATCACAAAAAATACCAGGATTTGGTGATGAAAGTTCGAAGGTAGGCTGACAGGGGACAGAGCCCCCTTGTAAGGTATTATTAAGTTACAATCGATAAGTAGTGAAAAAATCCGATAATTACTCTCTCTTTATTCTTGATTTCGTGACGAGAATGTCCAGCCAGTGGACAGGAGTCAGTTCGGAAGGCACTTTCTCGCCGTTTTGCCTCAAAAGTTCTATTTCTAGTTTCACGATTTCCCTGAACTTTTCGAGCTCTGGATTCTGCTGAATCATCGCGTCAATTTTCCTCTGTGCATCTGCATTGATAGTCTCCCTCCTCTCCCGCGGATCCTTGGGCATGTGCAACCTTTCTTCGGTCGCTCGATGAGCGGAGACGTAAAAACCTCTGTGTGGTACGATTGGCTGCCTCGCTAGCACCAATGTTGGAGATATTAGAGTGACAGTCATCAAACCTTTGCGCCCTCCTAGCTTTAGCGAAGCGTTAAAGTAGCACCGTATTGCTTGGGTGTACATTTTTGGGTGTAGAGTCACGGTAGAGAACTTGGAAAATCTGGAAAAAAAAAATTGTTGTCCTATCTAGAGATTACCAAACAGATATTTATTTTAGGTAAGATTAAGTACGCGCCACCGTGTCTTGAACAATAAATATTTCTAATGAAAATGTCTGGAAGATCGGACTCTCTTGGTAAAAATTTGTCTTTTTTAAGAAAAATCCATTAAATACAGTAAAAAGAAATTTGATTTATTTTAGGTTGAAATCTGCCAATGATCATTGTATGATTTGGAAGGGACAAACTCGTTAAAGTTATTTGTAAATTATTTAAGCCAGTTAAAGTTTAAGGTTGGTCCGATGATAAAATTTCTTACTTAACTGACAAGGGCAATTCGACTTTACAGCTATACATCATTATTTATTTGAATGTATTAAATAACTAGTTTTTTTTTTTTTTAAATAAAGAAGAGTTGACACTCACCCTTGAAAGTTCAAAGAATTAACCAATCTCCAATTTTGCGATATTGATTGAGAATAAAAAAGAAATACTGAAATTTGAAAATAAATAGACGGCGCATGTTCTTATTTTTCCTATTTCTATCTCAAACTACAATTAATAGTGATAAAATTAGTTTTAAATTGTCCTTTGATTTACAAGAATATGCGTCAACTCTTTTCTGCGCGTATAAATGCGTAGAATTAGTTAACTATTCCAAATGAAACAAATTAGTTAATAATTGATGGACTAAAAAACTGATACACGTCAACTAATATAAACTGAATTGTTTATTTTTTATTTCTTGTCAACTTTATTTTATTGCAACTTATAGACAAGCGAACAGTTGTGCATTATTGAATTAAAAAA